AAAAGAATAGATTACTTAACTTCGTACTTTATTTGGCCTTTTTAGATATTTTCATTCGAGCGTCACTGATGATTCTTTGTAGACTTAACTCGCGCCTGGTGTACAACATGTGAACCCTGGTATCTTTTTATATCTGCATTTCTTTTAATTTATATAATATTATATATTAAGTATATAATATTTATAGAACTTAAATAAACCGTAGTTCAGTTGATGGGTAATCAATTCACGTTGGTTCTGTTAAACTTTCTGTTTATAATATAAGTTGAATGTTAAAACGGATGGAATGCGACGACTTTAATTTTCGTCGTCTCTTTAGAATAGATACTTTATTAAGCTGAGGACAACCCATGCTTTGCAAATTTTAGGGGGCGCACGCCCCCGCCTGTATCCGCCCCTGGACATATAATACAATTATATTATATGTATCTGGTTTCAGTTTTCACGGCTTTTGAATTATTATATTTATTTATTGAAACACTTTTGATTGGATGGATTTTATATCTATGCTTATCTGAATATCTTTTTGATGTATCGAGCATAGCTTGCATTTCTTCCTCGGTTGATGATAGTACTATCATTCATACATAGAATGGAAGGATTCCGAGAGGTCCGAATCTAAGTTGTGTAACATAACAAGGGCGTGTTTTTTTGTTCTTCGGTAGTGAGCCAGAAGAGGTCCACTTCTGTTTTTTTGAATAGGGAAGATCTTCTTGCTCTCTTCCACCTCTTCTTTTTTGATAGGTAGTTTAGACGGCAGAGGCACATAACAAACATGGCGTCGTTTAGTCTAAATGACATTAATAAATTTATGAATGCAGATATATTAGAATGTGAGCTGTGTTATAAACGTTTTTATGGTATGACAGTCTTAGTAGGACATCCCTGTAGGACGATAAGCTGGATAAATATAAGAACTTCACGGTCAATAACAGTTCAGGGACGACTATTTGATATTCTAGGGAAGGGATTTTGATTGATTGGTGTTAAACGCTACTTTCAACACTAAGTTGGGCTATTCCGTGGTGGTCAGTTTAAATTTATAGATAAAGGATGGGAAAGGGAAGAGGGCATTATTAACTTTTTTAATCTGTCGCTAATTATGCCTATTTTTCAGCTCTTACCAGGCAACCATATTCATATATGAAATCCTCCTGTCCCCCACCCCAATAAATGAATAAATATCAAATGGTTTTTCTTCTTATTTAACACAAGTTTAAATTGATTGATTGTTTGTTGCTAATTTTTAACGCCCAGTGACAAATATGTCATGCCTGTTCAGGACTCGGTTCAGGAAAGCACGAGTTTAAAAGTCGGGTATATAATATAAAAACGAAGAGATGTATGATTGCTAAGGAGGCAACTATCCACCGGAGTTCAAATATGAAGTGGATGTAAGAAATTATAGGCAACCGTAATTAAGGCCTTCAACAATGACAAAACCCGATACTGTATTAAAAGTCGTCTATAAAAGGCCCGACGTGAAAAGTGTGAGAAACAATTCAAACGAAAAAACTAACGGCCTAATTATACATAACAAAATAATTTACAAAATATCAAATATGAGTCGAGGCATGAACCAACGACAACCACTAAGCTATAGGCTCCTGACTTGGGATAGGCACACAAAGAATATGGCAGGGTTGATATAAAAACGAAGATTGCCAATGAGACAAGAGACCAAATGAGACAGCAATTAACAGCTGTAGGTCACCGTACGACCTTCAACAATAAGCAATGCCTATACCGCATAGTCAGATATAAAAGGCTCCGCAATCACAAATGTAAAACAATTCAAACGAGAAAACTAACGGTCTGATTAATGTACAAAAAAATGAACGAAAAACAAATATGTAACACAGCAACAAACGACAACCATTAAATTACAGGCTCCTGACTTGGGACAAGCACATACATACAGAATGTGGCGGGGTTAAACATGTTAGAGAGATCCGGCCCAACCCGCCCCCTAACCTGGGACAGTGGTGTAACAGTACAAGAACATGTTTGTGAGCGCTCAACCCTTCCCGAAGCTGGGACAATGGTGTAACAGTACAATATAAGAACAACCTGCACAAATCAACTGCAATTAGATTAACTCAAAAGATCGGTACGAGACACACAAAAAAAAAAAAACTTACATTAAGACAATAGACACAAAGCACCGAAATAAGAGTATTTGCAATTACTGGAAGTTTGTTCAAAGCTAATAACAACTTATATTGAAATAAATCTTGTTCTCCCAGACTGAAGTATCAATCAGTACACAACCAACGGATTTATTAAAAATAAAAAAGAAAAAAAAAAAACAGTCTGAGAAATGTCTGGTATACATTGTATACTTGCATATTGATACATATACAATGAAAATTTTTGAAAAGTGGTGGTCCGAAGGTTTTGACCATCGAAATTTTGCAATAGAAATAATAGTTAGGACCAGAAGATTTTCTTCAAGGACCACGAGAGAAAAATGATTTCGAGAACTTTCCGATATCTTTGCTTTATACAAAAATAATCCAGTTTGGTTACTTTAAAAAAAATGGATAGACAAGATGTCCTTTTTGATCATATTCGAGACAAACATTGACGAATTTTTGTGCAGTTTAAGATTATTCTTAAAAATCAAATAATGGGGGTTTAAGCCAGATTTGTCTAGCAAAATTGAGTTAGAGGAAAGAACAAAGAAAAATGTCACGAACAGAGCACACTTTTACAGTCATGTCTACCGGACGTATTTTAATTTTCTATAAAATCATCGTAAACTTCATTTATGTCATTCAAAATAACAAAAATCTGCTATATTCGACGGCAAATTGAATTTTTGTTTTATTGATCTTCCGTAGAATATCTCCAGAAGAGGTCCAGATTCATTTTTTTGGACTCTTCACCAGAAGACATTCTGGAGATGTGCAGAAGAGACCAATAAAACACGCCCCAACATAGTTTTCTTCGGGTTACACTAAAGACCTGAAAGTGGACCTGAAAAGACCTGAATAGACCTGAAGATATCCTACTCGATTTCTTCAAAATACGATTACTTTTTTATTTTTCAAAGGATTTTCTTCAAGTTAGAATTTAATTAAATGTAAAGATCCACATTTTATTAAAAATAAAATGTTTTAAATACAAAACAAATTTTTGATGCCAAAACTTGGACCTGAATGGAAAAATGAAAAGACCTGAACGGACCTAAAATTCTACGATCAGACTTATTCAAACTTCAATTACTGTTTTTTTCAATGGATTTTCTTCAACTTTAGATTTTGTGAAACGAAAAATTTAATGTATTAATAATATTAAAAAAAGAATTATGAAAAATATTGTTCCGGTGTCAAAACTCGGACCTGAACGGGAAATTAAATTACCGGAATTGACCTGAAAATCTGCGCTCAGATTTATTCAAGTTCTATAATTGTTTTAGTTTTCAATCAATCTCCTTGAAATATGAATTTTGTTATAGAAAAGGTATAATATTTCATTGAAATGATAAAGAATTTAATGAAAAAAATATTTGTTTAGTTCCAAAAATCGGACCTTGTCGGGGAAATAAACTGAAAGACCGACCTGAATGGATCATACGGGTAGATGTATTTAAACTGACAGAACCTAATTTTTCAATTTGTTTTTATTTTAAATAAAATTATATTAAAGAGAAAGAATGACTTTATATATATATACAGGAACATATTTAAATAACAAATACCTTGTTGATGTTGAAACCAGGGCCTAAAGAGAAAACAGGATTGTCCGTGGAAATTATTCAAACCTGAGACTACTATAACACATAGTAGTCTCAGTTCAAACTAATTAACTTGTTTAAATTGTATTTATATAAACAGGTCTTATTTATATATTGAAAATAAAATCTTATTTATCTATATTGAAAATAAAAGTATCATTTTTGCACATAAACCATGTAATTTAAAGACGCGTGTTCGTCGATTGGAATGTTTTAATTACCATATGATGAACGTGTGCCGGCTGTAATTCACACCTTGTATTGATATAAGGTGTTAATTGTATCATTAGTCTAAATAATAATTTACGAGGAATATTGATGAAATTAAAGCCTAGGATTAAACTTTTTAGATTGAAATTATCATTTTGTATATATGCGTGATTACATGATAATTAATTAGCTTGTTCTATAATAATTGTTTGGTGTTTTCATTGTTAAAATAAGTGTAATGTGTTTTAATTGTGTATAATTATGTAATAATGTGTAACTGATAAAAACGACAATGCACGTTTACAACTGCTCATTTTAAGCTAATTCATTAAAATTAAATATTTTATCACAAGTTACTTTTGACTCTTCTGGAATGAAATGTTTTATAGCTATGTTGAATTAACTTTATATATCCAGGTCCATTCAGGTCTTTTCCTTTTTCATTCAGGTACAAGTTTTGTCACAAACATACAATATGAATATAAAAATAAGAATATGTGGTATGATTGCCAATGAGACTACTCTCACAAGAGACCAAATGACATAGAAGTTAACAACTATAGGTCACCGTACGGCCTTCAACAATGAGCAAAATATTAGTGGAATTTCAGGACCATGCATTCAGATTTTTAATTCTCCCTTCAGGTCCGAGTTTTGTCACCCAAAACATATTTTTTATTATTTAATTTCTAATTTTAATAAAATGTTATATTTTTTATTTTACAAAATCTAAAGTTGAAGGAAATCCATTGAATATTTAAAAAGTTGTTGAAGTTTGAATAAGTCCGACCATAGATTTTTAGGTCCGTTCAGGTCTTTTCATTTCTTCGTTCAGGTCTTTTCATTTCTTCGTTCAGGTCCATGTTTGGGAATCAACAATTTGTTTTTTATTTAAAACATTTTATTTCTAATAAAGTGTGGTTCTTTACCTTTACCAAAATTCTAACTTGAAGAAAATCCATTGAAAAATAAAGAAGTTATTGTAATTTGAATAATTTGAGTCGTATATCTTCAGATTATTCAGGTCTTTTCAGGTCTTTTCAGGTCCACTTTCAGGTCTTTAGTGTAACCCGTTTTCTTCCCCCTTACTTAAATTAACCTGAATTGGAGGGAAAACGTCAATATTGCAGAAATAATCTTTTTCCATAATCATGTCCCAGGAGCTGGAAGACACTTTAGCAAAATTATTAGTACCGGATAATAATACGATACAGCAGGTATTTTTGTCAGTATATATGTATCCAAATGAGAGAAAAGACGAAAAAAATGTATGGACTGTCCACGTGCCTGACGTTTCCTCGACATTAATTGTAAGAAAAAAACTACTAGTGGATGATAGGAAGTAATTCTGAACTGAAAACAATCGTTTCGATGGTAGACTACTTGCCTCTAGGTCAAGAGATGTTTCCATCAGTGGGGATCTAAAGTCGGAGGAAAAGGGGGGTGTAATTGCCCATAACATTAAAATAGGCATTAAAACGTTAAAGATGCTGTATCAACAGGGTTAAACCTGGGACTATCATTCTAACGGGATTATAATCTCGTAGGTTTTTCCGTATGCTATGAACTAATTACTTGTCTCCACGAGATTTAACAAGACTTGCGAGGATTTGGAGAGAAAGATGTCAAGGGCTATGTAAATTGCTTTCATGTCGATCCGGCCCCACGTCGATCCGGCCCAAGTCGATCCGTCCCACGTCGATCCGGCCCAACGTCGATCCGGCCCATAATTAAAGTCGATCCGGCCCAATCAAAAAATATATTTATAAGGAATAAAATTAAAGATATATATTAATTGTAATTCATAAATGTTTATGAATTTTATTATAATGTAAAAGTTGTACGGTAAAAAAAAATGGCCTTTGACAAATATGTTCTTTAGATGAGTATAAAACAACTATGTTGATTATGTTTTCATTACAAGTTTTCAAGATTATTGGGTATAATTATAATAAAAACGTATATAACAGAATTTAGTACAATCAACAGACCTCAACATTAATCAGTAGTAATTAGCATTTTCTTTCAATTGACTGTAATCTTAACAAGTCTTTCATCCTGTGTAATAACAAATAGTTACATACACAACGGTACAAGCCGATCCCCAAGCTGATTCATACAAACTTTGTTTTTGTTTTAAGTTCTTAAAACTTCTCAAATTGAGAAATGTTGTTTGATTTGCCGAATCCTTTCTATAAAAGAGGAGACAGAATGCTTTTGCTTCTAATATCACAATGGCTTTTCCTTGCGTGGTATGTGACCAACATGTTAGACCCCGGCAGCATGCACTTCAGTGTGAGCAATGTTCAAAGTGGCAACTTTAAAAAAATATATTGGCTATATTCGATATTATAAAAAAAAAAAACATGTGTTATAGAAGCCTCTGACTGATGTTACCTGAAAAAAAAAATACAATTAATTATTATAACAAATCACACCAAACAAAAGATCAAACTATAAAGACCTTGTTGATTTATACATAACTTTAATCAATCAGGATTTGATTGAATTAAGTGATTACGAGTGGCATTACCGTAGTTCACAATCATCAGACAATTGTTGAATAAACAAACCAATTATAGACTAATGATTTGATTAAACAAGTCATTGTGATGAGTTAAATTTTATAGGTTCCATTGGACTGTAAATATTTATTTAGCTATTCTGTGTGTGAATTAAATAAAATAAAAATCGCCATGACATTCAAAGTTATCATGGAAAATAACTTCATATTAATATGTTGAAGCTGCTATACAAACAGACACAATCACACTCATTTTCGTATCGATTTAAAATAATTCTTTGACTGGTACTCCAATACTTCACTTGCCTGTTGTCATCCATCATCGATACTTTTTACAAATTCCATTTATACTGTTAAAATTTGTCATAAAATCCTCCAAAGTCAGTTTAGTTTATTCATATTTTATTATGGGGCCGGATCGACGTAGGGACGGATCGACGTGGGCCGGATCGACTTGGGACGGATCGACTTTGGGCCGGATCGACTTGGGGCCGGATCGGTTTGGGGACGGAACGACCGGATACCTGTAAATTTACGGAATAATTCTTAACAATCGTCAAAAACGTTATATTGTTTTAAAAGTATTAAACAAAACAACATATAATTTGTCATTTAGAATGACACATAAAAGAGAGATTTTCAGGTTTTGACGAGATTTAAAGTGTTGTGAAATGGTCAGTGATTTATGGCCATCAAAGCCACCATTTTTATTTATTACCCCTTTGCATGTAGACACACCTCTGAAATGAAATATATTCTTATATAGCTAAAATAAAGCGACAAAGTTAAAATTCATTGTTTTTTTGTAAGAAAGAAATCAATTTAACATGTTCAGTGTTCTCCCCAGGATTTTGGGATAGCACCAGGGTAACGCATGTGGACAGCTTGGTGAAACGATTCATACAATCAGTCGTGTTTACCTTATTGTTTTCCATAAAAGAAGCACTTGTTGTAGCGTGGACCTCGACGAAGACACCTGGATTTTCTGAAAACTGTCAGTCAAGTGTTGATGACCCAAATACACAAAAGAACGAATTGAGATACACAATAAAAGCACAAATACTACAAAATTGTAAGAAAAATGAAACTTACCATATTACGTTTTGTTGGCTCTGCCCTTGAATAAAATACAGCTTCCCGTCTGATCATTTCCAAGTTCGAACTGGTCCACGGACAGATTCCGATGCTCTTCCACACCTCAGAGCTCAAAAAGTTTACTGTTGTAGAAAAGTTTAAAAAGTCAATGTCACTGACCTCCATTTTTGCAGCCATTTCAGACGACTGAAACCCGCATATTGATAATGCAGCGGGAAAGGCACTTTTCATCATCACGTCATTTACCAAATAAAAAAGTGATTGGCTATGTGTAGATACACCATAGGATGGACTAAATTTCACTCGAAAGCAAAGCTTTCTCGTGGAATTTAGTCCCTCCTATGGTGTATCTACACATACCCAACACTTTTTAATTTGGTAACTATAACTTAATTACATCGATTAAATCCAATCAACAAAGTTAACCTCATAAGGTAAATAGATCAGGTGGTGTAAACAATCTGGGTGTGAACTGGTTTGAACTGGTCAAATTTCACCTGGAATTTTATACCGCACGGAAAAGATTTAACAAGTCATTTCAAACTTAACCGATTTACAATTTTTTTACTGAAAATTTTAGCACCACGGAGAAAAATTATACATCGCGTTAGACCGATAGCACCGCACTCAAAAATTATACATCGCGGGCCCGTGGTCCTTTAAGGGCCTGGTGAAAACACTGCATGTTTAATGACATTCAATCAATAATTACAATAACAATTTTCTACTTTAATAGAAAACAATTTGTATTCAACACAAATAATATTTAATGAAATTATTTGTTTTTAAGAAAATATATTTAAAAGAAAAATGGCAATTAATTTCTCATTTGAATATACACATGTCTCGGAGACATATAATTTCACAGTATGACAGGTATATTAGGTGTGAATTATTTGATTACCAGGTAAAGTCAAAAGGTGATATTATATATTTTTCAATTGTTTATTTGATTGTAAATCTCTGTTAATAATTGTAAAATTAAATGAGGCTTAGTTATAAGACGATATTTGATTTAAATTTTTATAAACCAATAGTTATTCTAAGAGTTAAAAGTATAATTGAATAACTTTCTGGGTGGGTTATAAAAAGGGTGGGCATGTTAACTCTTAGCATAACTATTGGTTTATAAAAATTTAAATCAAATATCGTCTTATAACTAAGCCTCATTTAATTTTACAATTTTTATAAACCAATATTATGCAAGAGTTACCATGAGATTTGAGAGCCAATTTACTTGAATAGATGTAATGTATACATGTTTTGTAAGATTACAATAATGTATTGGATTCCCAAATTACTATTAAATTATTTAAAGTTTAGCACATGCGTATTTGAATCATACTCACGGTAAAAGTTATGTATATCAATAATTTGTTTCACTGACATACCAACACCCTAATAATTGTAGACAACAAACCAATATCATAATATGGACTTTTGGTAATGATAAACAAATTTTCAAATAATATTGTATTAACTTATATACATCATGAACATTGTTACAGTATAAGCAAAAACAACTATTTTCCACGAAGTACTCGAACACTATAGTTATCATTGTACTCTTGAACAGTAACTGGTCTATTGTAAAATTGCCTAAACGTAGACTCATTTGTCCATCCTGCCGATTTTAGTATAGAATTTACTCCAGCTCTAAGTGCTGCTGATGTACTAGCTCCCCTAGTACTGTGCGTTTTAAAATTAGAAATATTTACACCTGCAAGTTTTAAAACCAATTTAATCCAATTACTAATTGTTGACTTTGTACATGTACATTGTAGGATGATGGTATGGTTTTACAAATGTAACAAAAAGTTTTTGAGATGTACGTATTGTAGATGTTCTTTCGAGATACGCTTTTAAAACAGTTACAATACACAGTCTTGAGTCTTCAACAAATGCTGACAAGCATATTGGTGATAAATGTTTTCCTGGTTTTGACACTTTCAAAATCTCATTTATTTCAATTACAACATTGTCTTCTGTGATTTTCATAAAATCTAAATCTACACAATGTAAAGTCTGTATTCTCTGTCCAGTAACTAGTGCTAATAACATTACTAATTTCAAAGTTAAACATCTCCATGACAAAACCTTTACAGGCGATAAAGTAATCAAAAAATCTAATACAACATTAACAACTCATGTCTGCTGATATCTAGGAAACATTGGTTGCTTATTATAAACTCCTCGAAGGAACCTTTTAACTAAAGGCCACTGACCTATTGGCAGGGTTTTCCCCAATGTTAAATATGATGATAACGCAGATCGTGCTGTGTTAATGGAACTATATCCTACACCTGACTCATAAAACTCAAAAATTCCATTACATCCACCTCAGTTGGCGTAAAAATATCAATCTTTCGTTTACAACAAAATGTACACCATTTTTTGAGATATGTCCAAAACTGTTTTTGTGTACTTTGTCTCCAGGATGAGATGACAATTTCTGCAGCCTTTTTTGATAGTCCTGTATTTTGCACAATTTGCGCGACAATCTGAAGACACCCAAAATCAGTTTTTTCAACGGATGTTTCTTTTGAGGGTCTGTTGGTAGTATTAACAACTGTTGTCCCTTTTTCCTGGGTATTATGT